AGTGTCCTTGGACTTCTTAGCAACATACTCTGTTCCAAAGGCCAAAAATGTCAAAAGTATTTGGGAGCTCTTATCTAACCCCTAAAAGATTTTAGTCAAGCACGTGAAAGCATGCTTTGGCCATTTTGTTGTCTGGATGGACTCAGGTATAAAAGTTTGTGTGGACCTTTCGTGCCAGTGGTTAAGTTAGGAAAAGAAAGATCCCGCCTGTTGTCAGATTCAATCTTCTCTAAAAGCTCCATGAAGGAATCTAATAAAAAAAAAAAGAAAGAAAGAAAGAAAGAAAGGCAAAGAAGGAAGACAAAGTTGTCAGAAAAAAGTGATGTGATATGGGAGGTGTTGAAGAGGAGGGAGTGGTCATGGATTTGATCAAAACACCTCATATGCATGTATGAAGTTCTCAATAAAGTTTTTTTGAGTTAAAAAAATAAAATAAAATATTTTTATGTTGGAAAAATAGAGAAAAGAGCTCTAGCTGCTCTTACAGAGGATCCAGGAAGACAAAGTTGTCAGAAAAAAGTGATGTGATATGGGAGGTGTTGAAGAGGAGGGAGTGGTCATGGATTTGATCAAAACACCTCATATGCATGTATGAAGTTCTCAATAAAGTTTTTTTGAGTTAAAAAAATAAAATAAAATATTTTTATGTTGGAAAAATAGAGAAAAGAGCTCTAGCTGCTCTTACAGAGGATCCAGGTTTGGTTCCCAGCACCCACACGGTGGTAACGACCATCTGTAACTCTAGTACCAAAGGATCTGACACCTTCTTCTGGCCTCCATGGCACTGCACACATGGTGCACATATATACATTCATGCAGGCAAAACACATATGCATAAAATCAAAATAAATAAAATAAATTTTAAAAAGGAGAGAGAGAGAGAGAGAGAGAGAGAGAGAGAGAGAGAGAGATGGGGAGGGGAGGGGAGAGCACTGCTAAATTAACACTTATTAAATAAAGAGGAATGGTTGTCAAGGAGAGCTTGCAGGGAATCTAGCTTGACTGCTAGATTCAGTCCTAAGTCGCTTGCCTTCCTTCCCTGGCCCCCTGAGACAGATGAGAAGTCTGTCTCATTCCTGGGAATTCCTTTGTAGTGGGTGTTCCTATTCTTGCCTCCAGTCTTCCTTTGTGAGACTGATGCTTGTCCTGTTCATGGGCAGTGCTTCACAGTGAAGTCTCAGTTGCTGGTCACGCTTCTGGGCATTCCTTCAGGAGCCTGGAAGGGAATGCTGGCCATGCCCCTGTGTGATACTTCCCGTTGTTAGGAATGCCAAAATCCTAACTGTGGCCAGGCAGGTTGGTGCACACCTTTAATCCCAGTATTCAGGGGGCAGAGGCAGGCAAATCTCTGAGTTCAAGGCCAGCCTGGTCTATGTAGTAAGTTCCGGGACAGCTGGGGCTATGGGGAAACCCTGTCTCAAAAAAAAATTTTAAAGACCAAAAAAAAAAAAATTTTTTAAATCCTAACCATGATTCAAATCTAAGTAATCCTCAGACCACACTGCTAAAAAATTCTGGCCCAATAGGTCTTTTCTGGCTGAAAATCCAGCCTCCTTCTTTTCTCTGGCTTAACCACAGCCTCAAGAAAAATGCCTTCCAGAATCCTGGGAAGAGACAATGACCCTGGAGTCCCAGAATGACAGTGTACAAGAGACACAGGAAGCAGGCCACATCAGGTTCTAATGGGGAGGGGGCACTAAAGTGTGAGCCCACAGGACATACTGTGTCCTTTGAGCAGCCCCGAGGAAGCAAAGTGATCACAATTTGAGGACTAATTTGTAATGACAAATTCACATCACTTCCTCTTATGGTCTATGGGTTAGCAGGAGACTAAATTTCCTAGCAGGATACAAGGCCCTTCAGAATCCCTGCTTCCCCTCCACTCTCTCCTTATATCTCTGCCCTTCTAGAACCCGTTCCCCAAGCTAGACCTCTCTTAGCTCTCCAAGCACACAGCCCTGGATCTCGGAGGGCCTTCTGTGCCTCACTGCAGGTCAAACTCCCTGGCCTGCCTTTCCCTTCCTCTTAACCTAGCGAATTCTCAAGTCACCCCCTAACATTCCCTCTGCCACTATTCTCTGCTCCCTCTGCACCCCTACAAAAATTGCTCACTCTTCGTCCCTTTAAGGTATTGATAGGCTCTGTATAACAAACGTTCACCGAGGGACGAACTCACACCTGTGAGTTCAAGGCCAGCCTGGTCTACATAGCAAGTTCCAGAAGACCCTGTCTCAAAAAAAAAAAAAAAAAAAAAAAAACATTCACTGCATTGAATTGCTGACCTACAATGATCTGTTTATTTACTGCTTGCTGCCCAGGAGACTAAAAAGTCCTCCAGGTTCACTTTTAGTAGCTGTTCAATAAATAACAGACAGGACAATGATCGAGTAGCATTGTCTTGACAGGAAATGAAACAACTGCCTTGGGAGGTATTGTGTTTGAATAAGAAAAGTCCCCCACAGTCTTACGTATTTGAACACTTGGTGCCCTGTCGGTGGTACTGTTTGGGGAGGTTATGGAACCTTTAGGAGATGGCACCTGGCTGGAGAAAGTGTATCACTGGGGACAGTCTTTGAGGTTCTGTAGCCTGGCTGCACTTCATGCTCTCTCTCTCTCTCTCTCTCTCTCTCTCTCTCTCTCTGTCTCTCCTTCCTGTGTATGGTTAAGATGTGGCTCTCACCAGGTGTGGTGGCACACACCTTTAATCCCAGGAGGCAGAGGCAGGTGGATCTTTGAGAGTTCGAGGCCAGCCTGGTCTACATAGTGAGTTCCAGGACAGCTGGGGCTACAGGGTGACCCTGTCTCAAAAAGAC